TAATAATAATAATAATAATAATAATAATAATAATAATAATAATAATAATAATAATAATAATAATAATAACAATAATATTAATAACATTAATAACAATAACAATAATTATTTTAACAATAATTCAACTTTTAAAAAATATAAATCACAAGAATCGACTAAATCTCAACCTTTTATTCCTTCATACTTAAAAAATACACCTATTGATTTACATAATAAAACATCAAAAAATGTAATACAACTTCCTACAAAATGGAATAAATTAGACGCGGGTAGCGATATAAAAGTAAGAGAAAATGAATTATGTGCTGAAGCTATTGGTAGGATTAATTATTTTATTATTTATTTATTTATTTATTTATGTAATTATTATTTATGACTTATTTATTTTATTTAACTATTTATTTATTTTATATATATTTTTTATTTATAATGATTAATTATTTTTTTTTTTATAATGATTAATTGTTATTTTTTTTTTTTATAATGATTAATTATTATTTTTTTTTTGTTGAGGTAAGCTGATGATTACGAAGCAGCAGCCATTAGAACGGATAATCCAATTCCAGTTAAAGCAGGAATTTATTATTTCGAAATTGATATTATATTTGGTGGAAAGGATAAGTGAGTGTTGAATTTTTTTTTAAAAAAAATTCAATAATAATGTATTTTATTTATTTCATAGAATTCCTAAAGAGAATAAGAATTTTATAAAATAATTGTAAAATTTTTATTTTACAGTATTGTAGGAATTGGAATTGGGACAAAGAAATATGGTTTAACTTTAATGCCAGGTAAATATTATCATTTGTATTTTTATAGATGTATGTTTTATGAAAATTTATAAGCATTTTATATATTTATATAATTTTACTTAATTTTACTTAATTTTATTTGATTTTATTTAATTTTATTAAATTTTTATTTAATTTTATTTAATTTTTAATATAATAATTTTATCTAATTTTTAATAATTTTCAGGATGGGATTGGCATTCATTTGGTTATCACAGTGATGATGGCCGTACATTTTTTAATGGTCATCGATGGGAACGAGATCCATATGGTCCGTTATATTCAACCGGAGATATAATTGGGTGTTGTGTAGATTTTTTCTCAAAAACCGTCTTTTACACAAAAAATGGTATAAATTTAGGAAATATTCAAGTCATACATGGTAAATATTTGATTTGATTTTTTTTTTTTTTTTGTGAAAATTTATAAATATATGAGAAAATAACAATTTATAATAATTTTGAAATAATTATTTAATGAAAAAAAGTAAGTCATTTTTTTTAATATAATAATAATTATTTTTTTTTAATATTATTTTTATTATATTATTTTTAATTTATTATTAAATATCATCTGGTAAAAAAGAATGAAAAGCGTCACCACAAAATTTGGCAAGAAATTTAGGTGACATTTATCCAGTTATTGGAATGAAAAATCAACCAGTATGTATTGAAGCTAATTTTGGTACAAAACCATTTAAATTTGATATTGAAAATTACACAAAGGTAGATTCATTAAATTATTCTCTCTTGATTTTTATTAAATAAATAAATTAAATAAAATTTATTTATACATTTTTTTTTTACTTCTAGATACGATTCAAAGAAATAGGAGATTCATCTCCATACATTAATTTTGATGAATATGAAAGTTCATTTGTTAACAATTTTTTGATGAATATAGAGAATTTAGATGATAATCTTGTTAACAATTTATTTAGTGGAGATATAGAAAATTTAGATGAAAATAATGGTGAGAATGGTGAGAATGGTGACAACGATGATAATGATGATAACGATGATAACGATGATAACAGTGATAATGGGGATAGTTCAATGAATCATTATTTGGACAATGGTGAAAATTGGTGAAAAATTAAAATTATTATTATCATCGTTAATATCATTATTAAAGAATATCAAGAAATGAAAATTTGTGATTATTAATAATTTTCTTCTTTTTTTTTTTACCATAAACTTTATCCTTTATTTTTTATCATTTCCATTTTCATTCTTCATTTTTTCATTTTCATTTTTCATTTTTCATTTTCATTTATCAATTACATAATCTACATAACAATTTTATAATTTTATATCATTTCATCACATCAATATTATTACAATATCATATCATTACATTATTATTATTATTATTATACATATATATATATTACGCATTACTATGGTTTCCCCTTTTAATTCATAATTTAATGATATTAATGATACGTTAATAATGTTATAATGAGATGATATTGATATTATATATTATAATAATTAAATATATATATATATATATATTGTAAATATTTGAAATTATCGAGAACAATGAAACATTCTATTATTAAAGTATCTAAAAAGAGTTAAATAATAATTATTCTATCGAATGATTCATTTATTCACCAAAGTTATTTATGGCCTGTTTCTATTATTACTAAAAATAGAAAATTTTATTAATAAAATTGAATTATTTTTTATTAAAAATTATTAAAAAATCATTAAAAAAATAATAACTGAACTGTTAAGCGTTAGAATATAATCTTTTTTTTAATCTAGCCCAACGATGTCTACAAGCATCATCAGATCTACCGGAAATAGTGTTTCTGGAAATCTGTACCCAAGATGGTGATAAAGTTTCCAAAACTGCTTCAATAAGTAATTTATCTTCATCTGGTGTCCAAGATGATACACCATGAGTTGTTAATGTATTAATTTTATTATCCTCGTCATCATCATCATTATTATTATTATTATTATTATTGTGATTATTGTGATTATTGTGATTATTGTGATTATTATTATTATTATTATTACTTTTATTGCGGTTATTGTGATTATTGTCGTTATTGTTGCCGTTGAAAGAAAGATTAAATGTGGTGCCCGGAGAATTTGATGGCGTAATAAGAGATTCTGCTATTTGAGAACGACGTGATTTTTGATTCCACGAAGATAATATACGTTTTCTAATGGTTAAACCAACTGCTGACTTTGGATTCCATGGCTCCTGCAATTATCGCAGTAAATAATAATAATTAATAATAAATAGATAAATAAAATAATAATAATAATAATAATAAATAAATAAATAAATAAATAATAATAATAATAAATAAATAAATAAATAATAATAATAATAATAATAACATTAAAATATATTATCAGTTTACCTCTTCGCCAGTTTTGGGATCTACAATAATACAATCATCATCGTCATCTGAATCAAATGACCTTTTTGTTTCTTTCTTACAAGCATCAAAATCATCTATGGATTTATTATTTCTTAAAGATGTTTTATAAAAATCTTTTCTATTGGAGGTAATCACGATAAAGTCGTCATCATCAACCTTCATGTGGTCATTGCTACGATTATTATTATTATTATTGTCATAATAATTATATTGGTGATGTGTGTCATAATTATTACGATTATTGCGATTATTGTGATAATTTTGATATATATTCAGAAACTTTTGCTTCTTAGACGTTTGATTATCTGTTAATTTAATTGTCGATATTATGTGTTAATATATATATATTTATATTATCAATTATATTTATATTATCAATTATATTTATATTATTAGTTATATTTATATTATCACTTATATTTATATTATTTGTTATATTAATATGATAATAAATAAATGACAATGAATGAATGAATAAATAATGAATGAATGAACGTCACACCTGAAGTCATATCGATAATTTCTTCTTCATTTGGTGATGAAATTAAAGTAACATTATTATTCTCACTTGACGTTTGCTGCGAATAATTTATATCTTGATTTTTTCTTTGTTCGGCAACTATAATTGTAGGCACGAATTGACTATCATAAAATTCCATTACTTTATCAAAATCTTCATTATTATTTTTATTATTATTATTATTATTGTCGGTTCTTTGTTGTTGGTTAATCACTTGATTTTTTAGTTGCATATCTCCTTCTTCTTCTCTTCCTCCTCCTTCTTCTTCTTCTTCTTCTCCCTCATCTAAATCATTAATATTAATAACTTCTTTAATGGATTTCTCGGAATTTAATGTTTTTGCATTACAAGGATAGAAAAAAAATTCTTTGTAATTTTTATTGACAACTTCATAATTTTTATGATTTTTAATTGGTAAATTATGTTCAGGATTTTTACACATTTCTATTACGATATTTTGAATATTTTGAATATTTTGAATATTTTGAATATTTTGAATATTTTGAATATTTTGAATATTTTGAATATT